TCTCTCTCTCTCTCTCTGATGTGCGGGTGTGGTGATATTCTGAGACGTACCATACTTGGTCTGTTGCTGTTTGCTGGAAATGTCAGCCTATCATCTCGTGAGACAGTGGCAAATTGGCTGTTAATTTTGCGCAAAGTTTTACTCTGGATTTTAAAAAAACTTTTAAAAAAAGTTTTATTACCCGGGATTTTTGACGAACTGTTTTGTCAGAGAGATTATTCCGCAAACATTTTGAACAAATTTTCAGTCTACACGAATTCCGACTTCCGCCTCCCTGTTGATGTGATTATTAACTATGAATTTTCCCCGTACATCGTAAAACAATTTTGGAATCAAAGTGGCTAATGCAGTAACCTAAAGTCTACGTGTTTGAATCAATGTAGGACCAAAGATAGTACACAACAAGATGGGCCACTCAGCCAAAAAAGTGTCCGCCGGACGTTCGCTCTTTGCTTCAGATGGCGCTGCAGTCTGTTCTGAAGCTCTCTTTTCGTTTTTTCAGAAGAAGAATAGGAATATCACCTCCTTGCGTGCGCAGATCGACTGTTGTTCATCAGCAGTTCGGGTTCGTTCAGTGTGGAGTTTTAGGTTTTTAAAATTTTAATGACCTCTCGCCTTTCATTCTTAAGTCAAATTAAACGAAGAAAACAATCACCCTTTCCTCCGAAACAGGTTTTTTGTCAGCGTAACCATTTTAAAAAGGCGTTCTTCCGAAATTTATTCAAAAACTTGCTAGTTTCACTTTGATTTTTTAAACTCAAGTAAGGTAACTCTGTTCGCAAAGGGTGCGCATTTGTGAAGAGGGCGCCACCGAATTTTGAGGACACTTTTTTAATTGGCTCAAAGAGAGAAGTGGACCCTCTTGTTATGTAGACTCTTTGGTAGGACGAAAACTGGTATGACGAAAACTGGTATGACGAAATACAGAAATGAAAATTGTGGGACGAAAACGGGTTCTCCTCGCAGAAGACCCGAGTTTGATTCCCGAGCGGGGTTACAGTTAACATCGAATATCTCGTTATTTGTGCTGGGATAATGTATCTGTCTCACCTCAAGTTGGCTCTGATAGGCAGGGTCGGCAGTCCGCCTCCTAAATGATCTAAATTGTGTTGATCAGGGTGTAAAAACATCTACATGAAAAGAAAAAGAGTGAAACTGGTGCCGCTTGTTCTTCGTGTTTAGATGTTCTTCCTTGATCGCTGTACTGCAGACTGCAAAACCCTCTGCGGACTGGGATAGTATTATTGCGAATAGTCTCTCTCTCTCTCTCTCTCTCTCTCTCTCTCTCTCTCTCTCTCTCTCTGTGTGTGTGTGTGTGTGTGTGTGTGTGTGTCTCTATCTATTTATCTATCTATCTATC